GTCAAGCAGATCAGTTCCTAGGAAACCGACAGCTCGACAACAGGAAATGAGATTTGATTATAGCGGTGAAGGCTTCGTGCAAGACCATCCGCACTTTTTTTTCAAGTGGCCGAATACAGAGACCTGGTGCACTACGTACCACAAGGTTCCCAACCGACCCTCCTCAGGTTTTGAATTCAGAGCTGTCCTTCTCCTAGACCTGTTGCCATCCAAGGCTATAGTAGCCAGTCTGCCCTGCTATTTACCCATAGATGGAGGGAGAACAAGAGGATTCACACCTTTTCCCAAGGGTATATGCAATTGATTGGACTGGAATTCGAACTCGGCTCTCCGATTCCCCAATCTAAGCCGCTATCCATTACGCCTCCTATATATATGTATGTCTATGTATGTATGTGTATGTGTGTAAAATTTCAGATATAACTAAAATATATCTGCAAAAGGACAAAATGAAAAAAGACAAGACAATTTCCCTTAGCCGACAAGTTTGGTTCTTATATTTGCCTTGATATCCATCAAAAGGACAGAAACACGTTTATTTTCCTTTTGTCTTCATATATATATATATATATATATATATATATATATATGTGTGTGTGTGTGTGTGTGTGTGAAGACAAAAGGAAAATAACGTGCTTCGTCCTTTTAACAGATATATTTACCAAAAAAAATTGAAACACTAAAGAGTAAATTCTTTCAATAAAATCGACAGTGGCCTCAACCACAGCCTTCAGACGACTTCGGAATCACCTGCAACTCTTCTGGACGTTCTCCTTATTTAAGTTACTGAAAACTTCACTGTCCGCAGATTGACACTCAAACACTCGGAAATGTTCGTATTGGAGTTTCCGGCGCGAATGTCATACAGTACAGCATACCATTTCCAAATTTCTGGATGAGTGAATTGCGTCACGGTGCTCCTTTTTTCTCTCACAGACGGTACCCAACTGACCCTACTATACTGTGCAATCAACAAAATCAAACAACGCGCATGTGCGAAATTAGAGGATTCAGAAAGATGAGTCTAATGGTGATTACGAAAGTACGGTAGCTCGGAAAAATGACTCTGATCGTTCTGATAAGAAAGGAACTCACGAATTTGTTGGTGACGGCCTCAGACAACATGGAGGCCAACATCAAGTGCCATGAGGAAGTAATGCTTCCCTGGGTCAAGAGTGTGACTGCTGTAAGTCTGTATATCTGGCAACAGGACTCTGCACCATGTCACACAAACAGCAGTTTCCAGTTATGACTGCAGACAATTTTTGCGACCACATCAATAATTCTCCGCCCCCGCTAGCTTTCGAGTCTGTAAGTCTATTGATTATTATGTGTGGGGCGCATTTGAGCGAGAGACCAGCAAACACCTTGTAACAACAAAGATGATCTGAAGGCAAGGATTATGGCAGCATTCTCCAACTTAAATATGGAGACTCTTCAGAAGAGTTACAGGCGATTACAAAGTCGATTGGAGGCCGAAGTTGAAGGCGATTTCATTGAATAAATTTACTCTTGAGTGTTTCAAGATATCTTTGTGTAATTTTCATAAATATATCTGCTCAAATGAGATGTCAGTTTTATTTTTATTTTTGCGTAATTTAGATGGGAATTTATCCATCGCTTTCTCTCTTTCTCTCTCTCTCTCTCTCTCTCTCTCTATATATATATATATATATATATATATATATATATATATATATAATTCTTTATTTAAAAAATAAAATTTATAACATAAATATGTTATAAAATCACTACAAAAATAGCCATTTTGTTTCAACACTCTCAGTGTCTTATCAAGTGATGATGTTGAATGTAAAAATGGCTATTTTTGTAGTGATTTTATAACATATTTATGTTATAATTTTTTTTTTTAAATAAAGAATTATATCCGCTCTACTTTGTATTGAGCACTCTTTTAAGAATAGTATTTGTTGGTTATTGGAATTCATTCCGTATATACCAATCATATACTTGGGTTTATATATATATATATATATATATATATATATATATATATTAAGAAATATAGTCTTAAGTTGTGCTATGTTTATGGGATAAAGTGCTCAATATCAGAAATAGAGCGTGTGTAAATATAAAATTGAAGTCAACACTTAGAGGCGACAGGCTGTTTCATACTAGATGCAATCGTCAAGCCACAACAATTGCGTCTAGTATGAAACAGAATGTCGCCTCTAATTTTTGACATCAATATTCACTATATATATATATATATATATATGTATATGCCCAGTAACCTTCCTTTTAAACATCTTTCGCTAAATATGACAGGCAAGGAAAATTTAATTAATTATTTATTTAGTTTTTCCATCATTCTTACATTTTCCCGTATGGTGGGAATAAGGGAGTGCCAAAATTGTCGAAAATATCGATTACCTCAAGCGCTTTCGGCAGCTTCTTTAGCCATTTTCAAGGGGGCTGGTTTTAGGTGGTGTTAATTTTTTCAGGTTTCGGTTGTTTAAGGAGCCATGAAAAGAAATTAACAACACCCAAAACAAACGTACTATACACAGGTAATCTTTTGGGGGAGAGGTTAAAATCATGCATTTCTGGTGATCGGTTGCGTTATATACAATATTTTGGATGGGGTAAAATTAAACAAAAAATCAGTGGACGCACTATAACGCTGAAGGTTGAATTCCATTATATTGAGCACTTTAACCCATAGTTATAACATAACTTAGAATTATATTGGTATCATATATATATATATATATATATATATATATATATATATATATATATACTGACGATTGCGTTTAGCATTAAACAAACTGGTTGTTGACTTCAATTTACACTTTTATATTTTATATATATATATATATATATATATATAAAGTGTATATACATGTATAATATAAAAGTGTAAATATATATATATATATATATATATATATATATATATTTTCACTCCCAGACAGTACTGTTTCGCTGTATCACAGCTCTTGAGTGCCTCAAACAAGGATTAAAACCCAACCGATTTGGGTTTCTACTCCGTTTCTATCACTGAGCTATCTTCATTCAACAGAATGGAACAGCGAGCGTATTGTTTTTACGAATGTAAGTAAATGCCAATCAGCCATAGGGCTCTATTCATTTTACTGAAGAGCTTCGCATTAACGCATTTGGCTGTTATTTATAGAATCAGCTTGTCATACAACAGTGCTCAATTGAAAAATATTTTTTCAAGAGCTAAATTATGTCATTCGCAGACAATACTGTTTCGCTCTATCACAGTTCCTCAGTGCGAATAGACATCCGAATGCCTCAAGCCAGGATTAAAAACCAAACACAAGGTGTTCCAAAAATCTGACATCATTTCGCAGGCCAATAGTTTTGGTAATTCTTGTTGAAATAATCACAAATTTTCACAAAACTTATAGAAACAGATTAAGATTTTATATTTAATGTTTTATTTTGTTATCGCAATGAGAATCTACCAGACAGATAGATCGGGCGTGGTCGAGATGAAGACTAGCATTGATGGACTCAAAGAGAGAATCACTCCCGCACTGGATAATGTTACCGGAGACATGCTATAGTATGTTTGGCAAGAGATTAACTACCGACTTGACGTGTGCCGTGTCACAGGCGGGGCACATATTGAACACTTAATAAACTCATGATGTTCAACATCTAAACTCTTCAATTTTATTGAGCTAGACTTAGTAGTTTTCAAGATAATTACTTTTAAAATCATGTCAAGTTTTTTTTGGGGGGACACCCTGTATATTAGGCAGGAGCCTCAAGGTCTTGTCCCCGCGAGTATTGCTGGGAATTACCGAAGGAACTCAAGCAATTTATTTAGGGCTGCCAACTCCCATTTTATATCAGTCATGTATTGAACCATAGATAATCGTCTAAGCGTATATCACGCATGGCACATAACTCACAGATTTACCTAAACCAACTAGGCGGGATGGTTTGAAATTAATACAGGGTGTCCCCAAAAATTTGATATCATTTTGCAGCTCAATAATCTCAAATTTCCACAGAATGTATAGAAGCAGATCAAGATTTTATGTTTAATGTTTTATTTTTGTTCTGTTTTCAAGTAGAGCCATGCCGTTCACTCCCAAAGAGAAGTCATTTTGCGTCTTGGAATATGCTCGCATGCAGTCACTCAAGATGGTGCAGTGTGCTTACAATGCAAAATTTTATGAGGATATATGAAAGGGCTGGTCTATGTCTCCATGTTCCTGCTAGCATTGATGAACTCAAGCTTAGAATCACTTATGCACTGCATAATGTTACCGTAGACATGCTACAGCGTGTTTGGCAAGAGCTTAACTACCGACTTGACGAGTACCGTGTCACAGGCGGTGCGCAGACTGAACACTTATGAAATCAGTCCCGTAATAAACTTATGATGTTCAACACTTAAACTGTTCAATTTCATTGAGCTAGATTTAGTAGTTTTCAAGATAATTGCTTTTAAAATCAGGTCAAACGTTTGGGGACACCCTTTATTATTTAAATTAATTGTTATAATTCTTAGATTTTATTTAAATTCATTCTTTGTCACCGTAATCGTCAAACACTTCACATGTTTACATTATTTGCATTGTTCATACTGTTGTCCACATATTTATTGTCATATTCACGACGTTTCGGCCATTGTACGCTCCGGTCTTCTTCTTGCTTTTAAAATGATGTCAAATTTTTTGAGACAACCTATGTATATATATATATGCATATACAGAGAGAGAAAGAGAGAGAGAGAGAGAGAGAGATAGAGAGAGGGAGAGAGAGAAAGAAGGCGTGTATACAGTAATCTACACTACATGGCGACTGTCAGTTTCATATCTCAAACAATCTATAGATAACATGTCAATACGTTAGTATGGTACAAAACGAATTAAAAAATGTTTTATGCTATTTTATCTCGTGACAACATTTAACATAAAATTACTTTATAACGGGATAACATTAAAATTAAACTGTTCAGTTTTATATTTTTAGTATTTCCTCGTTATAAAAAGTATATATAAATATCTATCTATCTATCTATCTATCTATCTATCTATCTATCTATAAAATAAGTCATTTTCAGTTTTGTTATTAACCAGGTTTACGTTTTTATAATCTTCCTCGTAAAAATGAAATATTTTGACGACTTTATTACTTCAGATTTTATAACTTAAATCTAGTTTTAATGTCCTAAAATGTTTGACAGAAACAAAAAAACAAAAACAAAAAACCCGACCATTTCCAATGACCTTAATATCAGATTTCTTGAAAACCAAGACTTTGTCGTTTTAAGAGTTTTTAATGTAACAGACAAGTAAACATAAATCTATAATTTTGTTCACATTATATGAATGGAAGGAGAAAGAAGAAAAAAGGCACGACTGGCAGACGAAAGGCAACTGGTAGAAGAGGATGATAGATTAATAATTAAAAAGATCACAGACACGTATATATATATATATATATATATATATATATATATATATATATATATATGTGTTCAAATATGTAGAAAATATGAAAGAATACGTTAGGTAAATAACCAGAGGTTCTTTAGTACTTTTGTTTTTATTTTTAAAAAACAGTGCTCTATACAGAAGTAGATCATAAATTATAATTATTCTTTTAAAAAAATAGGATTCCTTCGCTAGATAAGAGTTCTCATGTTTCAAAAACGAGAGCCGAAAACCTCAATATAATTATTGAAATTAAATTGAATTTAAGTATCAAGCCCTGTTTCATCCTCAAGCGAAAATTCAATACTTCAGTACAAAGGATCTGCGGTCTATATAACATCAGGACAACCTTCAAAAGCTTGACAACACTTCGCAGATATCTCTCCCGGGTAAGACCCCCCCACATAGAGGAGAACATGATTAAAGTCTGTGTGTACGCTATCCCGTGCAGCTGCAGAAACAAATATAAAGGGGAGACAGGCCGCCAACTTAAGGTAAGGCTTCAAGAATACCAGATAGCCGGAGCACGAGGGAAAGTGGAAAAATCAGGTGTGGCTGACCACATATGGGGAGAGAAGGGAGATCACCGGCCTCTGTGAGATCAGGTTGAGATCATAGACAAGGAACACCATTGGAAAATTCGTAAACTTAAGGAATCAGCACATATGCTAGGGCAAAAAAAATCTCCTGAGCCGACCAAGCATAGAAATGAATACAATATGAGAACCAGTAATAAGGAGTGCCAGAGAAAAGCAATAACAACAAAAATTGCAATATGAACTCTGGTAAAAGAACATGCAATGATAACAGTAAAAAAATTGCAATATGAGCACTGGTAAAAATCTTTGCTGAGACATTAGGTTTATAATACCCAGAAATTCATACACAGGTGTCCTCAAAAACACAGTGGATATAGGCGTTGGTTAGATCCAGTGACAGGACCCAAAGAGTGTGAGTTCAATACCCAGTTAAGGCAGTGGAGAACTTTCAGAGGGAAATTAACAGGAGATAACTGATAACTGACATCCATTAAATATGGCACGTGGAACTAGAACAGTCTATCCCAGTGAGCGAAATAAAGGGTTCAGTTTGACATTCCAACCAACTGAAGAAGGCTGAAACGTTGTAATAAATATGGCGACAAAGATGAGGAAAACAGTCCGAATAAAGTAAATAATGTACATAATACCTCATCTCAGAAATATAAACAGATACTGAAATAATTGTAATATATATATATATATATATATATATATATATATATATGATGACAGACTGAAACAGATAGGTGTGATCAGACTGAAATAGATCGATGGATAGATGAGAATAGACTGAGTTAGATAAATATATGAACAGTCTGATATATATATATATATATATATATATATATATATATATATATATATATATATACATTATCAATAAAATCTTATAAGTATAAGAAACTATACTCGCTCGGAATGTTAGAATCTTTGAGTACTATGTACTAGTGAGCTAGCCATAATGAGCTGACTCATAGTTTACCAATAGAAGGGTTAACATGGCAAACACGGAAAACCTTCAGTATGTTGATTTGCAAATAAACAAGCCAATAGCAAAGGAAGAAAAGGTATAAAAAAAAGAAAGAACCAAGAACATGTACAATAACCGAAAATAATCGTCCAGCATACGAGTTAAAGCCCCAAAGAAAAAAAACCCGTTTCGGCCTTCCCTGACGATCCGCTTAGGTGAAACCTTGGTAGGTTTCTCTGGCTCTAGGTTTAACTTTATATTAATATATATATATATATATATATATATATATATATATATATATATATAGATAGATAGATAGATAGATAGATAAGATATAAATCTGATATATAAAACCAAAGGCAAAACGGAAAATGAAAAAGGAAAAAAGAGGAGATAATATAAAGATAGATCGATAGATAGATCGATAAATGGAGAAAGAAAGCGAGAGTGAGACTGAACGTGTGAGAGAGCGTGCAAGAGATTGATGGTAATCCTTTGTAATTATAGAACATTTGTTAATTTTTGACCTAACCTCGTATATCTAGTTCTATTAATATATGCTTTTAATTGTTTATACGCACATAAATATATATGTATATATATTATTATATATATGTATATACTTATACGTATTTTTGAAGACCACTCTCCTATAATTACTCGTGAAAATCAAACTCACATGAGTGCATCACTTTACCGACAATAATAACAGAATCAGACGATACCATAGATAAAGGGTGCAATTAAGATGATCTAAGCATGGCAGCTGATCTTTCTTCTGAAGCAGCTGTAACAGCTCGATGGTTGGAGGGAAACAAGCCATTAACTTTCAATATCTCATAAATCAAGCTCGTATCCTTTCACCATCACCGATCAAATCACGGATTTTTTTCAGTCACGATGATTGGTTGAATTCTTAATGAGGATCATTGCTTTGGACGTCTGTTGGGACTCAAGTTCACTCCAGATCCCCCTACGCCACTTTAATTCAGACATGCGATCCATAGCTAAAGTTTCCGGAAAATGGTCGGCTCATTCTATCACTGCAGGATGTACCCGACTCATTCAGCAATGCTTTAATTTTACAAGAGTTTTAGACCATAAATAGAACATGCCGATAATATCTGGGCTGGGATTGCTCAATTCTCACTTTCCAGCGTTGGGAGAGTTCAAAATCATTTACGCGGTCTTGTGAAGGATGGAATTTTCAACTTGACATCCTCCCTCCCAGGGATGCAACGTTGTAATCCTAGAGCTACTCTATGGTTATTCTCATGACAAATACGGATGATCTCCCTTCGTTTGTTCTATTTTTTTCATACTTTTAAATTTACGACTCGACATGCTACATCTACGGAATTGAATCACCCAAATTTCCCCTGTATTTAAAATTATAAAGACTAAGTTCCATTCATACAGCTTTTTCAAAATTTCCCCCGTGAATAAATTTATGAAATTCCTTCACAGCACATATTATTAATGGAGCCTCTTTTTTCTATGTAGCTGTAAATTTTCTCTGCTGGTAGAAGCGAGCGTGAAGTATGAGCGAAGGCTTTCATTTTACCGCCATCGATTTTGTATAGAAGCACCGCTCCAAATACCGCACTCATTAACATCTGACGCTACTACGATTTCTGCTTTTGGATCATAGTGTGCTAATGATAAATCAAACGTAGGTCTTTTGGTGCTATTACTCTTTCTCATCACCACCTCCTGAAAAGTAAAACACAATCAGATAAGTTTATAAAATGAAAATAAATTTATTTTTAAAACAATTCTTTTTTAAAGTTTAACTTCATAAAATTAATTTAAAATAAAAGCTGGCCTTTTGTAATTATTAATAATTAAATTTAATTTAGAAACACTAGCAATGGTTTTAAAAATCTTCTGTAAATGTATTTCTGCTGTCAAAAATTTCTAAAAAGAAAGTCAGAAAGACAAAGAAATGAAATGTATCATTTAAAATCAAAATCCACAAATTATGAAACAGATATTAAGAAAAAAGGGAAATCTATTCGTATTTATTTTTTTAACTAAAAAAAGAACTCAAAACAAAAAAAAACATCGTGTGGTTGACAGTGTCATATGGAGGGATACGAAAGTGTAATAGCGCCAGTCTTTTTTTTACTTCCTCAAAAGTCATTTGAAAGTTATCATTCCCGTTCCATTTTATTCCTTATTTAATTGGATCGTTTAGTAGAGCTCTCAAATTATGCATATTATGTAAATATAGTTGATACTAATTAACCACCCCTAGAAAAGCTTGTGTTATGTGCCGTACCTATGAACACTAATCCTCATAAATACGTTGGACGCTATTGTAAGTGGGGGTAATATGATAAGTGGTCCACCACTAGCAGTTGATTACCTACCTTACGCCGCTGGCGAGTATTGTATTTTGTTGATGTTATAAAGATTACCACTTAATTTCCAACCTCTGTTTTGGTGATTCCTCATTCAGTAACCTTTTCTAGGTTACAACAGCTTGTAAGGAAGTCACATTTGTTGGTGGAGGCTTATTTTTAACTACACTTGCCCTCGACGGATCTGGTTGACAATTTTTTCAATAATTTGACCAAGGTATTTAATTTTCGGCAAAAACATTTGAATCCGTACTCTCTTAATTTTTCCAAAATTGGTTTCCTAACATGTAATTCTTTAGATATACTTTTGATTCAAAATATCGTCCTCCCCTCCTCCAAAAGAAAAACAAAAAAAAAAAACCCGCTGCTTTAAGGAACAGATTCTTGCGTGGATTCTTTGACAAACACTACTATCTTAGGATCTTTAAATGAAGTATCAAAGAGCTTAAAGTGCAGAGTCTTTTAGATTTCTATGATAACTGATATGTCCCGGAAAGGCATATATTTGATCGAAGTAGCTAAGGGGTTTTGGCTACTGTAACCAAGTAGTCCACGGTAGCAGTAATCGACTGGTACTCGTCGTAGTCGCAGGTAATAGGATAGCCAATGGCCTACGGGCTCGGGAAACCTACGTTAAATTCGGCCTTGTGTCACATGCAACCCTCGTGGGAGGGTGGCTAGATACCAATGGCGTAGTCCAATGGGCGCCATCATAGACGTAAACATTGCCGTACCTACACGTCCGTCTGTATTTATGACGGACACCAGCCAATCATATTCCAGTGAGGAGGGACTCAGGTGTATGTATATTCCATTATATCAATAACCAAACTGGCTGAATTTGATAATACATAATCTTGAATAAAGGAAGTAGAGGGTAAGCATTTTTTAATGTTTTAACTAAAGTGGAATATGTTCCAAGAACATATATTAAATTGGCGTTAGAATTGGCAGGCACGTATTTTGTGGACTGATTGATAATACAGCCAATGTAACATACGTCTTCCTTCCGCATCAGGCGACTCAATGTTTTAGGAAGGCTACGTGTCTGTGAATGTCTTCAAAAGACAATTTCTTATTTAGATTCGGACAAGGGTATGAATGGTTGTTTCAAGACAATACAAACTTACGGCCAGCTTGGTCAGTACTAGATGGGTGACCGCTTGGGAATATAAGGTGCTGTAAGCTGGATGTAATGATAACAGAAGGGAATTGAAAATCGAATAGCCGAGTTCGAATTCCAGTCGAGTTCGTTATATTCACGAACGCGCAAATGCTTGTGGGAAAGGTATAGATCAACATCTTCCTTCCTAGCTATGGATTAATCAGTAAGAGGTATATCATTAATTCATTATTATCTTAAAAGAAACTTAAAATCTAAAAATATTTTCTGGCTTTAAATAACCGGCAAGGAGTTGATAAGCCGTAAAAAACATATCAATCAATAAAGTCTATACAAGACTTTCAATAATTCTTACTATCGTTCTAGAGCTTTCGACCATTCTTTGGTCAATTTCAGGAACAAAAATAGGTATTATTTATCGGTAGAAGATGAAATGATAAACCCAAACTTAATTTGTATTGACGTTTCTGTCAGAGAAGGTTATGGTTAAAGAATTTTACATCAGAACATGTGACTGTATAGATCAAGGAAATCTACCTGTTAATGTCATATCTTTAGCACTGTAACATGGATTTTGAATAAATTCGTTTGTTAAATCTATTTTTTAGTTAGGGATGATGTTACTTCGAGTATAGGATATTTTGTTTAATGTTGTTTTAATGCATTTTTTACATGAAAGCATCGAGAATTTGGAGACTCTGGTTGCAAATAATGTTCTATAATATTAAAGTATTATCGACCATTATGGATTTTATATTTGTACGAATATTATATTTCGCAAGATGTGGCCTTAGTGTTCTTTGGATGGATATACGGTAATTAAAGTGCGAAGAAAAGTTTTATATATATATATATATATATATATATATATATATATATATATATATACACCTAGTGAGCCAGACAAACCTACCTAGGTTTCACTAAACGGATCCCTGACGATCCGTTTAGGTGAACCCAGGTAGGTTTGTCTGGCTCACTAGGTGTATCTAGGTCTGCTCTACGGTTGTATTGAGCTCTTTTGTTAGTTAGTTGTTACTCGTATCGGGGTTTTTTTTTGGGCTTCAGACCTGCATCTGTGCGATTTTTTGTCGGCAGAAGTCCATGTTTGTAGCTCTTTCTTTTTTTAAAACCTTTTTTTCCTCGAGATTGATTTGATTAGCAAATCAAAAATTCGAGGGTTTTTCAAACGAGTCTAGTTATCTATATTTATATATATATATATATATATATATATATATATATATATATATATATATATATATATATATATATGTATGTATTGATGCATGTTTCATTAAATAATATACAAGTTTTGTCAATTTATTTTAAGTAAGTTCCACCATTCACCACAAAAATTCTTAAATGCTTATAATTGATAACTGTTGCTTTGAAATTATTCATGCAACAAAAACAGACTATAATTATTGTTCCGTGTATTGGTTGATATAACGAAAAGTAATTGTCATCTTTGATAATGGCTTATGTAAGTCAGCTTAGATTGGATTTAAACATGTATCAATATGGTGATTTTCTTTCATCTTTCAATTATAATGTTATTAAAATTATCAGACAATATGAAAGGAACTTACTTAAAATAAATAGACAAAACTTCTCTATATTATTTAATGAAACATGCATTAATGAAAAATTACAATTTAATTGCAAATTAATGAAACATCATCAATAAAAAATTGCTGCCTAATTAGACACAATATATATATATATATATATATATATATATATATATATATATATATATATATATATATAAAAAAAGGCTTAAACACTAATATTCCATGGTCATAATTTATTCCATTGGAATCGTAAATACGATCCAAATCATCAGACCTACAAATTCAAAATGAAAACAGAAAAAAAAACAAAAAAAAAAAACATATATATATTAAGTTTAAGAAGGCCAAAAGTGTGGACCATCCAGTGAAGAGCAAATTCCATTAGTATTAGTAGTAGTGCAGTGGGACACTAGTGTTGTAACCGTAATCTCATTGTGAGGTTTCCAAGATAGGTGAGGGGAGGGAAAAGAAAGAAAGAAAAAAAGAAAAATGTCGAAGGCATTTAGAAAGAAATTTGAATTGGTCAGATTATTCTATTTTTCTTTTTCTTTTTCACGCTGTGTAATTTATTTTTTTTTGTTTCATATTCTTCCATTTTTTCTTTCTTTTTTCTTTCTATCTTTTCCTTTTAACATTCTTTTATTATCTGTTGTTTATCGCTTTCTTTTTTTCTTTCTTGTTGTTTTCGTTTCTCTTTCTTTTCTTTCTTTTTCTCTTGTTAGTGGTTTCGTTTCGTTGTTTTTACTTGTCTTTCGTTTCCAGTTCTTTCTTTCTTTCTTTCTTTCTTTCATTTTACTATTTTATTATTTTCTTTAGTTCCTTGTTACTATTTTCTATCTTTCTTTCTTTCTTTCTTTCTTTTTTTCTTTCTTTTTCTTACTTTCTTTCTATTTACTATTCTTTCTTTCTTTCTTTCACTCTTTTTCTTTCATTCTTTCTCGTTACTATTCTTTCTTTCTTTCTTTCTTTTTCTTTCTTTCTAGTTACTATTCTTTCTTTCTTTCTGTCTATTTATTATTTACTTTCTTTTTCTTTCTTTCTTTTTAATATTTTTTATTTTCTTTCTTTCTAGTAACTATTTTCTACCCTTCTTTCTTTACTTCTCGTTACTATTTTCTTTCTTTTTCTTTCCTTCTTTCTTTTCTTCTCGTTACTTCTTTCTTTCTTTCTTTCTTTCTTTCATTTTACTATTTTATTATTTTCTTTCTTTCTTGTTACTATTTTCTATGTTTGTTTCTTACTTTATTCATTTCTTTTTCTTTCTTTCTTTCTTTCTTTCTCGTTACTATTCTTTTTTTCTTTGTCGTTACTATTCTTTCTTTCTTTCTTTCTATTTACTATTGACTTTCTTTCTATTTCTTTCTTTCTTTTTATTTTTTTCTATGTTCTTTCTTTCTCGTTACTATTTTCTTCCCTTCTATCTTTTCTTCACGTTACTATTTTCTTTCTTTCTATTTCTTACCTTCTTTCTTTTCTTCTCGTTACTTCTTTCTTTCTTTGTTTTTAACGGTGAACTCTTTACCTTCTCTCCCACTATGACTGAATACCATTCTTTCTTTCTTTCTTTCTTTCTTTCTTTCTTTCTTTCTTTCTTTCTTTCTTTAACTGTTCGCTCTTTTTCTTTCTCTCCCACCATACCTATCTTTCTTTCTTTCTTTCTTTCTTTCTTTCTTTCTTTCTTTCTTTCTTTCTTTCTTTCTTTTGTGTCCCGTTCTTTCTTTTCTTCATACCCCTTATTTTATAAACTTCTTTCCCTCACCCCTACGACCATTATTCTCTCTACCTGATTTCTTCCTTCTCTTCCGTCACGGTTTTAATCGGATCCACTTCTTCCTGCTGGTCCCTCTTCTCGCTTTCCTCTTTCTCTGTTTCGCATGAAAGCGTTTACATCGTCTACTCTGATTATGTTTAGGCGACAGCTTCGATCCAAAACCGATTCCTCACGAATCAAAGATTTGAAAGAATCAGTATCGAGCCTGCCAGCAATGGATACATATCTACTCCACTCTTCCACTCTCTCTCTCTCTCTCTCTCTCTCTCTCTCTCTCACACACGCACAAGTATTCAACCGACAAGACTGTCTTTTTAACTTTTTTTTGTAAATCAAATCGAATAAATAGAATAAAAATGAAATAAACCTTGTCGGCGGAATTAAAATAAAACATATATATATATATATATATATGTGTGTGTGTGTGTGTGTGTGTGTGTGTGAGTGCGAGCGCGAGCGTGTGTGTGTTTAAATATGTTCAAAAACTTCTCGCAAAATATTTTCTAACTATGTATTCGGAGTTTTCATACACGTAATATACAGGATGTCCATGAAGTTCGTGTGCACTTTAAAAAATTTATAACTTTATTTGTGTTTACGATAGAAATAATTTGTGAAAAGGATTAGAAAGAAGTAAATCTATGTTTTTAATGGTCTTATTGGCATTTTATTTAAGTTTCCACATGTCCTCCATCATTAGCAATACAAAGGGTAATACGATTTTGCAGTTCATGGAAAACATTTGCCAACTGATTTACAGTAATGCCTGAAATCACATTAGTTTATTTAGCTATACTTAAAACTAGGTGCATTAAACTTTAGGATATTTTTACAGATTATTTCTATCGCAAATACAAATAAAGTTAAAAAGTTTTTAAAGTGCACACAAACTGTATGGACACCCTGTATATATATATATATATATATATATATATATATATATATATATATATATATATATATATGGGTGTGAGTGGTGGGAGAGTATGATATTAGACTAAATGTAGTTAGGTGAATGTCTAAATGTAATAGAATCCTATTTTACAGTCTGAAGAAGTCCTCAAATGATGAAACGTGATGTTTCACATATGTATATGTATCATTAATGGTTATTGCATTGTATCAATTATTTTTTTAAATCTATTAATTTCTAATAACCTCCTCCCGAATATATCCGGAATCTCAATTTTTCTTGAGTAGGACTTTTGAATCTAATCTTGTTGTTATAAATGTGACGTTTTAAGAAGAAAAAAATCACCCATATTATTTTCTCTTAACTACTCAGATTCCGAAATGTAAACTCGTCCTGGGTATGACGATAAACTACACCCGGCAGCAAGGCCTCTGATCGGGAAGTTTTCAGGAGTGTGGAACCACTTCTTAATTGCTGTTTCCAGGTCCACCCTGACCCTGGTTGGTAGCAATTATTAGGGTCCCAGGTATGGGCAAATAGTTAACCCCCAATCTTAGGTCAAACACACTATAAAAGTATAGAAATAGATATTTATGGGGAAATAACGGAAATAATTTTTGAAAAAAAATATTATCAGTAATACATTTTGAAAAAAAGAAAAATATTACCAGCAATACATTTTTGAAAAAAAGTATAATAATATATTCTATTCATACGAATCTATTCTAAAAATTTTGTCCGCATTAAATAACCCAGTGACGTGTTGATATGCAGTAAAACCAAATAAACCAAAGCGAAATGTAAACAAAGCAATTTCTCGAGAATTAATGGATTTATTTTTAATGCGACATTTTTTTTTACTGTATTTATTATTTAAAAATAGTCTGGGTTAAAAAAGAGAAAATGGAGGTTTGCATATTGCATCGTTTTCCGTGACTGGGCGGTAACACGCATCGAATAAGACGGTAGCTTCCTCTACAAAGAAGAACCAAGGTTCGATCTCTCCCGGGAATGCATTGTTCTTTACTAAGATCTCTCGAGTGTGCAGACCGACAGACGTAATGCACATTGGTTAATAAATAAAAATGGGACGTCTATTATAAGTACGGAGTACCCGCTATAATAACGTTTGAAGTAATATATATGTATATCATGAATATTCACGTGGACGGAGGGATAATGTTAAAAAATAAATGTCTTTTTTGTAAAACAAATGCACTTTTCATCACTATCGAAATAGTAATGGTATTAATAGCCGTTACCGTATAAGGAAACATTTGGCTGTCATTGACCGAGCAGACATTACAGCTTTCTGTTGCAATTTATAAAATCTTTCTCTTAAAACTATTTTCCTGGAAAATACGTTTCTCAAGTCCAGTATCTGTTATTGTACTTTCCAGTTCTGATAGGAGTTTTCCTTCCAAACCTTTTATTTGAAGTTATGTGGAATAGAGAGTACTTCAAGAGGAGCGCTTGTATCTTGATGGAGTTCTGGGAACAATGCGTATGTGTGTGTAGGCTATATATATATATATATATATATATATATATATATATATATATATATATATATAATAAATATAAATTGAACGACTGGGGTATAAGTCACGAACTGATTCTTTGATTGAGTATTTTTCTTAAAAAGAGTCTAAAATAATGGGATTGGTTGAATGACTTAATTTTTACGGTTTATCGACACTCTGTGGGTTATTTAAAGCCAAAACATATTTTGAAAATCTAAGAACAATTCCTGTTTTTGCAAGAGAATATTGCATTCACAATTTTAGAACACACACACACACACACACACACACACACACACACACACACACACACACACACATATATATATATGTGTGTGTGTGCGTACGTGTGTGTGCGCGTGTGTGTGTGTGTACTGGTATATATTTGCTTATCTATGTCCTCGTTTAATTTACTCGGTCGTTAAAACTTAGCACAAAGCAAAACATGGATTTATTTAATGAGTTTATAAACGTTCTCTAAAATCAGTCGTTAATCTGCCTGAAATCAAGTTTGATCCGCGAAGTATTATTATTGTTGTTATGCAATAAACGTTGTGGTGATTTCAAACACGTGGCTTAGGTATAAAAGAGGGAAAAGGAAAAATAAAAAGCAGTACCACTTCTGAAAAAAAAAAAAAAAAAAATTGCCAGAACGAAAATCGAAAATCAAATGTTGCTCATCGTATAACTAAATTTTTCTTTTAAAATTGTCGAAGAAAAGTAAGAGAAAAAGTAATAGGAAAAAATTCAGCAAACATGGACAAATATTCATGCAATAAGACATTTTGTGAAAGAGACGGTTTTTTCCCATAACACTGCTTTATTTTAACTGTCTTCACACTTCAGTAATGTTTAGTTTTAAAAAAGCGATGTTTATAATTGGGATAAAAGCTAAACATATGATAAAAATGAATTTAAATTTTTTTTGTTCTTGATAATTTACAAATATATTAAACACTATTTAGTTATTATATTATTTATTTTAATAATTTAGTAAATTTATGAATAAAAAAAATTGTTTTATATTTATTTCTTTATAAATTGGTGAAGTGATAAATATTTCTGTAAAGTATGCAGTTGTAGGCTTTAAGAAAGCTTTATTCAACTGAGAATACAAGGTTCGCGTATAGTGTCCTTTTATAGTCCCAGTAAACAGAAATAAGCTCTCTTAAAGAGGAGAGTAAGAAAACATGTGGAGACCACTCTTGATTATTCATAGCAATAGGTAAGCCTTATACTTTTAATTGCTGTTAAGTGTTAGACAGGTAAGATGTTAGAAAGGTATGTGTTAACTAAGTGATATACAGATAAGAATTTGACAGGTAAATGTTAGGTTAAGCAGGTGATTGACAGGTAAGTGTTATACAGCTCAATGTTAGGTAAGTGTTGCCCAGTTAAGTGTTAGGTGGGATTGATGAATGAGTTTTCTTTCATAATATTTATTTCATTCTGTCATGAAGATCATGCATTTTTGAAGACTTTATTGCGCCAATCTCTTTCTCTAACTCTCTCTCTCTCTCTCTGTATACATTTTATGTTTATATATATAGCGCGTGCGAATGTATAGGTATTTGCGTATCAAGAGATGCATAAAACGATTATATCATATATACATACATATATGCGATATACATGTAAATGTTTATCAAATTGAATGTATATGTAATGACAAAAGTACGCAGTTGTAGGCTTTAAGAAAGCTTTATTCATCTGAGAATACAATGTTCGCGTATAGTGTCCTTTTATAGTCCCAGTAAATAGAAACATATTTTAACATAATTTTTTTAATACTAGACGAACAATAATTGTATTTTAAAAGGATTCTGTGATAAATATCCAGAAACAATTGACCATCTTTTATCAGGAACCAACTAAATATAAAACTCGGCATGACAGAGTGGGCCAATATCTGCATTGGAAAATAAGCCACGTTTACTGAAAGGAAACTAAGAAACTGGTATGAACATCACTCACACCCGGTTACAAAGATAGGGCCTGTAAGAATTGTGTTGTACTTAACAATAGACACAGACAGAACAATAAAAGCTAATATTCCCGACATAGTGATGAACGACCGCAAGAACAGAATGTGCTTTCTTATTTCTAGAGATAGTAATGTATCTTTGAAGAGCCTTAAAAACTATCAAAATACAAGTAGATATCTAAAAAGTGTAGCCCATGTGGAACTCAATAATTCCAATTGTAATTGGAACCATCTGATTGATTGGAAAAGATTCCGATAAATCCACTGAAAGGACTCCTGGTAGGCAACGACTTAAAGAAATACAAAAACAGAAAAAATGTACTCACAAGTACAGCTTATATATTACGAAGTGCTTTATGGATGTAAAATGTGTATGGTCTTAGGGTATTTTTTTATTACAAAGAATGATCAGTGGAAGATGTCATGAAGACATTTGTGAGATTAATTCTCTGGTTGGGAACCGGAATGAAAGGTGTATATAACAAAAATCAAAGAAAATAAATATCCAGAAACAATTGATCACATTGTATCAGGTTGCACGATATTGGCACCCACTGAATATAAAACTCTGCATGACAGAGTGGGCCACTATCTGC